TTAGTGCAGGAGATGGGAGTCTGGTGAGAATAAAAAATTCATTTAGTGGGCTACATGGAGTACTTATGAAGAGGACTTCCAAGATCAGATAAAGAGTTCGAGTCAAGTAGATGATGATGGAAAGGAAGTTGTTGAGGATTTGTTGAAGTATCCACCAAAATGTTGGAGTAGGACATTCTTTAATACTGTTTGCAAGAACTAGTCTATGGAAAATAACTTGATTGGGTCATTCAATGCATGGATCTTGCAAGCAAGGCACAAGCCAATCATTAAGATGCTTGAGGATATTAGAATCAAAGTGATAAACATGCTTATGAACAAGAAGCTGAGGTGATGATTGGGGAAAATGAGTACAGTCCCAAGACCATGGAGTTGTACAACCAATTCATGAGGATTGCATTGAAGTGTCATATCAATGGTAGTGTAGATAATGGATATGAGGCGATTGAAAGTAGTGGCAGGCACATTGTGAATCTGAGGTTAAGGAAATGTACTTATAGGGCATGGGATCTTTGTGGCATTCCATGTCCTCATGGAATCTGTGCATTATTATACAAGAAAGTGGACCTCTAAGTGAGATTCATTGGTACCTTATCAAAAAGGCTTATCTCCTAACTTATTTACATAAGTTACAACCAATAAGAGGAGAAAAGTCTGGAAAATTGACCCTTCACAATACATGGCTCCATCTCCTTTGGTAAAGGTGGAAGGCCTACCAAAGGTTAAGATAACAAGAGAAAAAAATGAGGAAATTAATAGGAAAGGGCAAGGGTATCAGTCAAAGAAAAGGAGGGTAATGATATGCAGAGACTGTGGTGAACCTGGACATAATGCTAGAGGATGTGCAAAGGTAATCAATACTAAAACTCTTTCTATCATTCTTTTTCTACCAACATCTAATAATAACTTTCTTTCTTACTAACGGCACTCTATCTAAAGAAAAGCAACTCATTGGAGGCAAAAAAAAGGGAAAGCAGACAAAAAGGAAGAGAATTTTACTTCATGAAGCTACTGATGATAAACAACCCAGAGCAACTAGAAGCCACTGATGAGGAAATTTCTTTGTCAACCCCTCAACCAAGTCAGACAAGTCAATCCAGCAACTTCTTATTTATGCCAACCTCTTCAGTGCAGAGACAAGAACCAAGCTGCATTGCCTTTGCAGACTTTGACTACTCAGACTTTGATATAGAGCCTGAAATAGCTATAAGGCCAAGAAGTATCTCTAAGGCAAAAACTAGACTACAGTTGAAGCAACTACAAAATATAAATAATTGGAATAAGGGCAATTGAATTTGTTGGTGATGCTAGTGGTGTGAGTGAGCCATAAGAACTACCATTCTCACCAAAGAATCTACAATGACAGGGAAAATGCTATTACTAGTAACCAACTTAACAAACAAAGATTGTCCAAGTTGAAAGCAAAGAAGGGTAATGGGAAGAAGCAGACTTAATGCAATCTGGTATGCTAGAATATGGAGCTATTGAACTTATGGTTGTATATTTTTGGTTGTGATGTAATTACTGTTAGGCAAGTAAACTTGTTATTTTTGGTTGTGTGATTGTTTAGTTAGTGACCTGTTAACTTGGATGTCATGTTACTACTTGGTTGTGTAATTTTTTGAGGTGATAATGTGACATCCTCTTTTTTGGGGTTTAATGTAATTTGACTATTTAGTTAGAGAAACTTAGATGTCATGTTATCACTTGCTTGTGATAACTTTTTGGGAGTGTTAATGTGACATCCCTTTGTAAATGAAGCAATTATTAGTTTATGAATTTAAATGTTCATTTCATTGTTATTCATTGTCCAATTTATAGATGTTGTCCAACCCTTCATTCTCCAAGATTTCGGATTCTGCAGGTTCATCACTATAAAATACTGTCCAGATTTTGACAGAGACAATGCCTTGAACACATACAATTTGTGTGCTTTGTAACTGCTATGTTCATCAGCCCAAATCTCGGAATCTACAGGTTATCACTATGTAATTGCTATGTAACATCAACTAATAATATAGTAGTTTCATCATAATTGGTGCCCTCTAATACATACACAAAGATGGCTATAAACACATACAACATCAACAAATAATATAGCTTCCAATAAAAATATAAAACTAATATTATATCAACTAATGTTAATGGTTCAAAACAAAATACATAACATCAACATTACATCAACAAAATGATAGTAAAGATGCACCTATTCAAATGAGAAGAAAACTGAAAATAATACATATTCACTAAAAAAAGATCACAATAATAGATATCAACATGATTCAAAAAATTCACTTTAGCATCGACGCCACAACAAATCTAACAAAAAGTGCCCATAAAATCATAAACTCCATCCTCGTCTTCAAAACCTTCTCTTCCAATTTCATTACTTTTGTAGCTTCAGCTTGGTGCAGAGCCTCCATGGCAATTAATTCTTCTTTTAATTTATCCCTATCAATTTTAATCACTTTCCAAGACGATGTTAAATCTTTGGTTGTAAACAAATCACTATTCAAGGAGATTTCATCTTCCCATTCAAAATAACCACAAGAACGATTCTGTCAAACACACAAAACTAGAGAAGACCCAAAGAGATTTATTAGTAGACTATAATTTAGAGCAATGATGCCATAACGATACCTAATTTGGTATGAACATCTTCTTTGCGATTGCAGGCTAAGGAAAATAGGATTGGGGTCGTGTAAGTGTAACGATCCGGCCGGTCATTCCATGAGTTACCGCTCTGTTTCCCCCATTTCTGCTTCTTATTGCTTTGTTTATCGGTTCTATGTGTGATCGGGTTGGTTGGCTCGGGTTTGGAAAGGTTTTGGTAAGGTTTGAGACACTTAGTCTCTTTTGAGGAAGCTTAAGTTGGAAAAGTCAATCGGATGTTGACTTATGTGTTGGAGGGCTCGGATGTCAGTTCCAATGGTTCGATAGCCTCGGGAGGTGATTTGAGACTTAGGAGAGTGATCGTAATGTGTTGTGAAGGTCCGGAGTAGATTTAGGCTTGAATTGGCGAAATTGAAATTTTGGCGTTTTCCGGTTGATAGGTGAGATTTTGATATAGGGGTCAGAATGGAATTCTGAGAGTTACAATAGGATCATTGTGTCATTTGGGATATGTGTGCAATATTTCAGGTCATTCGGACGTGGTTTGATAGACTTTTTGATCAAAAGTGAAATTCAGAAAATTTTGGAGTCTTAGGCTTGATTTCGACGTGGTTTGGTTGATTCGATGTTGTTTGAGGTATTTTGAAGATTGGTATAAGTTTGAGTAGTGGTATATCATGTGTTTGTGCTTTTGGTTGAGGTCCTAGGGGCCTCGGGGTGATTTCGGATGGTTGGCGAAAAGTTTGGAAGTTGGTTTTGACAGCTGAAGATATTCCATTTATGTCATAACTGCACATGCGGCCAGGGGACCGTAGGTGAGGCCTCGCAGAAGTGAGTTTGGAGCCGCAGATGCGGCCAAAGGCAAGTAAGTGATAAAGCGCAGATGCAGGATATGAACCGCACCTGCGGGCCCGCAGAAATGGATGTTTGGTTGTCACACCTCCTTTTTACACCCGCAAGGGTATATAGGAGTTTTTTCAATTAAAGTGACATTATTCGAAATGGAATTAATTAATTTATCAGAGTCTCCACTTGGAATAGTTTATTTAGTGTTCCAAGTCACCGGTTTATTTTAAATCCCAAATCGAGGAAATTTTTATTTTTTAAAGTCTGTGAACCAGAAATTCTAGATAAGAAATTCTGTTAACCCGGGAGAAGGTGTTAGACATTCCCGGGTTCCGTGGTTCTAGCACGGTCACTTAAACTATTAAAATTGGCCTATTATCCGATTTATTACATGTTTTAACCTATTGTGCATTTTTAACTTTAGAACCGCTTTTGTTTATTTTAAACCGCTTTTAGGAAGATTCAACGTTATTTAAAACATGTCTCGAACCACGCTACATGAAATGCACTCGCGGTTCGCGACACGTTCTATTTAACATTGTTGAGAATTGAAATTGGGTCACATGAAATGTACACCCGAAATTTTAAAAATCACAACTACGTCACGGGAACCGTACCCATAGCTATGATTGAATTACTTAAAGGACGCGCCTAACGCAACTACGAAGGTTTAAATTAACAACATTTATGAGGGCCATGGAGAGTTCAATTGATGGCACACCTCAATTTTACAAGGTTTGATTTAAGTTCATGAGGGCCATGGCTATTAAAGGGAAAATGGAACACCTTAAATTTCTACAAAAGTTAACTAATTATATGAAGGCCATGGGCTTAAGAGTTTCATTTGGCATGGCACTCCTCAAAAGGTTTTTAAAAGAAAAGTAATCAATTAAGGAATTTTAAGGGCATCCTTATTTTAAAAGCTAACTTAAACTTTAACAAAGAGGCTATTGATTATAGATTAGATTTTTCTTAGCCATTTTGGACAAGGAGAAAAGGCCAGCAAAGGCTCTTGAAACAACTCAGCTTTGAAACTGCAATTGGGCTCACAATTTGGCCCGATGAACCAAAAGATTTTGTGTATCATTGCTGCAAACGAACTAGGCAGTCCATGTTGCGATTAAATTTAGGCGGGCCCAATGGCTATGTTTTCTAATTGGGCCTATCCACCCTTCACTCTTTGAGCCCAAACTTACATGCTACTCACGTTACAAAATATAACCCATATTATTTCTAATTAGAGAACTCATATTTAGAAATCAGAATACAACTTCAAGTTTTAAGAAATGATTGCAATGTACACAATTTTGCAGAATAAAAGTAACATGAAAGTCATACATTCATACATTCATACTATAGTTCATAGAAGAAACCTTAAAATCGAGCCAAGTCTATTGGGTTAAAGGCTTAGACCCAGCGGTCCAGTCCCAGACCTATCAAGACCCATTTTCATCTGGGCTTATCCCTAGATCTGGCCCAATTGACCACTATACTTGTGAAAAAGAAAAATGTGATAACTCTCAGATACACTCTTCATGCTGTTGTATCAAATGTCAGTACATAAAATTAAAACCTTAGAATATTACAGTCTTTAAAAATAAAAAATTTCAGAATCAATACATTGCAACCTATTAATACATGAACACTATACTATTGACTAATCTATTATAAAATTTTGCATAATTGATATCCTGAAGAATCTGGCCTCTTTTGGACATGGTTTGTCCATTAGAGTTTAGTCCCTTCTTATGTTTGAAGCAACAGTATCAAAGTGTCAACTCTTGAACCTGCTAATTTGGTCAACTAGTGACCAAATTTGTAGGTACTAGCCCCCAAATTAGTTAAAGCTTTGCAGCCATTCTTATACCTAAAATAATAGATATAACACACAGATTTTAGCATATTGTCAGCTATCATATTTAGTTCTAAGCCTGAACACATGCTGATTTGGCCAATCAATGGCCAAATCTACAAGTTATGACCTATCTAATTTTAAACAAGGCAAACATTATACCAACGGTTATATTTTTTGAAAAAAAAATGAATAAATACTGAAAGAGCTAAAGCATCAGAAAATCAGCAGAAAAGTGTTGGCTCATGCAAGTCCAAATTTCCACATTTCCACAGAAGATTACATACCCAAACTCACAAAAGTACTCATATTAGTATATTTCTATGTACCATTATGTTAGTTAACTTTAGAATATGCCAATCAACAAACACCAAGGAAAAATATTCATTTTGCTATACATATTTTGCAAACTTGATACTTTATAATTCATCAAGCACAACAGCTACATGGAGGTATAAATCAGTACCTTAAATAGCAAAGGAAAAGGCAAACAGCTATATATGCAGAAATTATTGAAAACTTTGACAGGAATGGAGCAGCAATAGAACAGCAGTCAACAACAACCAAAACAACCCAGGATCTCAAACCCACCAACAACAACTTGAAACCAGAAGTTACTAGCTAGAAAACCCAAGAAAACTTTATATTTTAAACCATTTTTTCACTTGTAAAGAATCAGAGGAAATGAGAAAATTGTGAAGTTTTTTGATATTTCTGAAGTCTGATCTTTTCGGGAAAGAAATAAAGCTTTTGTGCAGAGAAAACAGGGTTGAATCCGTGTATTCTGCATGAGAAAAGGCACTATATATAGGGATATATAATGCCATATGCTGAAGGAATTATTCTTAGCCATAAACAACATATTTCAACAGAATTGGGACAGCTGGTTTTCCCCCATTGGTTTCAGTACTTTCTACTAACCAAATGAAGCCAGATGTCCCTTTTTCTAGAGTATTCTGATATTTCTCAAATTGGAAAAACCTCAAATGCCCTTCTAAAGCTTGCTTATTACAGTTTCTACCTAAACTTTTGTTCAATTAGGTCCCTAGGGTTCTACTGATTTTCAAATCAAACAAACAAAGGCAGAAACAAGAAGGGATTCAAAAATCTGAATTGAAATGACTAAAGGAAAAGTGCTGATGCAATTTTAAGACTAAAACTAAATTAATTAGTGAATGAAAATGCATTGTCTAATTAAATCTAAATGAAAGCTTAATTTAAACGAAAATTGGGTGGCAGAAATAGGAACAAACAAAGAAACAAATATGATAATGCAATGAAAGCTAATAACTATCCTAATTAAATCTAAACTTATGCAATTTGCTGAACAAAACTTAAACATGCTTCGACCAAGAACGAATTAAACGAACAGTTGTGAAACAAAGAAAGGAAAAATTCAAAAATAAAAACTCCTAAAAACATGCGGCTAACAAAAACAACTAGACATGCAAAGAAGAAAACAAAAATCAAAACCAAACAAATCAAGAGAAAAGGATTTATCGGAATTTTAAAACTGGTCCAAATTATGAACTCATCCCAAATCTTCGAACTATAAGTGAACCTTGACCAACATTAATCGACTGTTCTTAACAAGAACAGTCGATTAATGGGGGTTTTATGTTCACTTGACCCAAATTTGACCGAAAAATCAGGAAGGGGGAAAGTTAGGGTTTAAATGAATCTGGGATTTAAAATTTGTGGAATTTGGCTGGGATTTTTGGAAAATTGAGGGTATGGTAGTGGTGAGGGAAGATTGAGGATCAACTGGTGTGAATTTAGGGCTTTTTTGGTGACTTAGTGTTTTGGTCGTGATTCTTCGATTGAAGATTCGAAGAATTCGGTAGTGATTCGAAGGAAAAGGGGTTGAGATTTGGAATGTGGGGGTTGTGGTGGTCTCATGGTGTAATTTTGGGAGGCTTTGGACCGCCGGAACCGCCGTGAGGCAATTTTCGATCGTGGTTTACGGCGGAGGTGGTGAAGAAAATGAGGGCGGCTAGGGTTAGTTGGTGAGGGTGAGATACAGAGAAAAAATGAAATGAATTTTTAGTTTTGGAGGGAGGTTGACTTAATTCGGACACTTATATTGTGAGGGATCATTCAATTCCAGGCCGTTGGATTGATAAAATTCAACGGCTGTAATCAAATCAACACGAAACAGGGTCGTTTGGGAACTGTGGGAGCTGGGTCGGGTTTGGCAGAGATTGGGCTTGGGTATTTTGGACGGGTTTGAGGCAATTTGGGGCTGGTTTGGGTTAAATTAACCCAAATTTCAAAATCAAACTCTTTAATTCCCCTTTTCTTTCTTTTTTTTAATTAAAAATCCTAATAAAAAATTCTAAATTATCTAAAATGTGAAATTAAACTATTTAACTAATTATAAAAATTATCAACCATCCTTAATTCTAAATTAAAAGAGGAAAATTAATAAACTAAAAATTAAAAGACAAAAAATGTAAAAATGAGCTATTTTTGTGATTTTTAAATTTTTATAAAATAAATAATTACTGGTTAATTCTAAAAATATAAAAACAAAATTCTAAATATAATGCATGATATTTTTGGTATTTTCATGATTTAAATAAAAACTAAACATGCACAGAAAAATGCAAATAATTAAGAAAATTCTACAAAAATTCCTAAAATGGAAAATAATTACAGAAAACTTATTTTCTTGGGATTTTATAGGAGTATTTCATCTAGGGCAAAAATCACATTCTCACACTAGTCGTAGGTGTGGAGAAGGCCTTAAGTGACGACCACAGAAGCAGTTGTACAGGAGCGAAGAATTCGTCGCATGTGCGAAAAGCCTATGCCAAAAGGTATAAAAGAATTCCTTCGCGATTTTTGAGTTGTTCTTCACCATTTCAAGTCGGTTTTGGAGCTTTTTGGGAGATTTTGAAAAGGGATTCAAGGGATAATGTCTGGAGCTAAGATTTTTTATCCTAATAAACAATCCTAAGGCATTATTTCACTGAATTGGCCTAAGATTAATGGAAATTAAGGGTTAAAAATTGGGAAACTAGGGCTTAGTATTGGAGACCTTGACTTGAGGATTTGAGGGGCCATTTATGGTAGAATTTTGGGACTTTTGATATGTATGAACTCGTGGGGAGATAAGGAATCTATTGACGTAAAATTTATCGAATTCCAAGATGTGGGTCTGGGTGTCGGGTTTTGGTTAATTTCGCGATTTGTCACACCTCCTTTTTCACCTACACCCCAGGAAGGGCGTAAAGGAGTTTTTCCATTTAAAGGACAATCGGAACGGGATTTAATTATTAATTATTCAGAGTCGCCACTTGAGAGATTAATGGTGTCCCAAGTCACCGGTTGAATCCTGAACCGAGGAAATTTATGACTCTGTTAACAGTCCGCGAACCAGAAATCAGAGTAAGGAATTCTGTTAACCCGGGAGAAGATGTTAGGCATTCCCGGGCTCCGTGGTTTTAGCACGATCGCTTAACTGTTGTATTTGATTTTATCTGATTTTAATATATGCTAGCTTATGTGCCTTTTATTAATTTTACACCGCTTTTTATCATTATTTATTTTATAAGAATTACGATGTCGTGAAAACGCGTTTTGAACCTCGTCGCAATCAATGCGCCCGTGGTTGTTGACACATTTCAACTTCATCAAGATTTGGATTTGGGTCGCATCAATGCGCACCCGAATTTAAGAACGTATTTTAATTAAATCGTTCCTAAAGATGCTAACGTAGTATTATTTTGGGGAAAAACCATGAAGTTCGCTAAACGGCCATCCCAAATTCTAATTATTTCGATAATTATTTATTGAGAGCCCCATATTTAATTATTTTTGTGCGGTGAGGCTCGTCTCAATTTGTGAACCTTTTTTCTATCATCTTTTATTTTATAAGAATTACGACGTCGTGAAAACGCGTTTCGAACCACGTCACAATCAATGCACCCGTGATTGTCAACACATTTTGACTTTGTCGAGATTTAGATTTGGGTCACATCAATGCACACCCGAGTTTTAAGAAGGTATTATAATTAAAATCGCGCTTAAAGATTCTAACGCATTTGTTATTTTGAGGAGGATGGTGAAATTCACTAACACAACCTTTCCAACTTTAGACGGTGAGATAATTATGCTACTAAGCACTTAAGGGTTCTAATTGATTAAAGCCAGTACTTTGTTGAATTTGAATTTGAACATCCAGGTAGAAATGCCGAGCAAATGGGCTCTGAGCCCCTAAGGCCCAAAATCATGCCATTGCACATGCTGCAGGCACAGGCCTTTAGAGCGCTAGGCGTCGGGTATAAGGCAGGCCCAAAATTTTAACTTGCACGTACAGCCCAGGGATCGAATCCTTGGGCACCTTTTGATTTAACTAACTTCTCAAGCCTTAATGCACCTAGGCCCTAATTCGATTTATCACCTAACCAGAAATCTGGGCTACCTGCTAGTACGCCAGGCCCAAAACTGGCCCAGTATGAGGCTGTTGATTGTACAATTCAGGTTGGCCCAAAATTAAAAGCAGTCATGCGTATTGAACTCAAAATCAATTACGACTTTGCAGCTTAATTTCAGCAGACTGTGGAACTTAAACAAACTGAAAACTACAATCGCATAAACATGAAATGCACAGTCTAAACAGTCCACAACCCTGATTACATACATGAATTTAAATACCAAAGTGCTCACTTACTAATTAAAATGATCAAACTCATGCTAGACAGTTCATTAGTCCCGATTATACAAACCAAACCAGGATTAATCTAGTACCTAGAGGACATGAGTGAGCTAACTGTTTTATATACTAAGTTTAAACAAAAAAAAACATGAAAAATTCAAAGATCAACTTCAGACAACATGTTTACTTCAGTTCCATAAACTTGAGGGTTACAGAACAAGTACCTGGAACTTGAAATGAGAATAGAGAAAAGGAGAGGAATCAGCTACTTTCAACAGCAACAGCACTAAACTCAGCAATGTTACACCACAGAAATACAGGTAGATGGCTTTGAAAACTAGAAATATAAGCAGACTTCCAAAGATCAGTTTAGTATACTTCAAATATACCCCTGACCCTCACAGCTGTACCTAAGCACCTCTGTAAACCCAAAACCCAAAATTGAAATCCAAGACTAGTGATGAAACTGTGAAGTTGTTTCGGATTTCTCCATTTTTGATGTTTTTGTTTTCTGAATACTCTTAGAATTAAAATGCTAACTGAAATCAAAAGCAGGAATGAAAGCTCAAATTGAAACTCAGGGCTGAAGGTAGAAGAAGAGAGCAGAACCCCCTTTCCCAAGGCATTTCATACCCTTTTATAGGCAACCCCAAAGGGAATAGATCAGGTTCTGATTTTCCAATCAGTCCCTCCCTATTTTCAGTTTGGTCCCTCTATTCCTAACTTGCTAAACAAGTAAATGCCTTACATTTATTAAAATCTACACTTGTACCCCATTCTAGAAGGCCCTAGGGTATTCCTCTACCCATACAATACCTATACTGCCCTTCCCTACATCTTGATATTACTATTCTCATTAGAACTACCCTTTTCCATACCCAGATTACCCCTAAAACCCCTCAAAGTTACTGAACCTACCCTCATCCTTAACAGCTATAACCAATACCCTAATTTAAATCTAAAACTAACTGAAATTAATTAATTAGTATTCAGAAACTAACTAATCAGACTGACCAAAACCAAATGTTCAATTATACCAACTCAATCAAGCTAAATAAAATTAAACTGAGCTTAAGCTACCATGATCAATATTAAGTGAACTTAAACTAATTCTTAAAC